GAGACTCAGCTTTCATCCTTTTTGCAATAATTTCTTCCTTCATTCTCATTCCCTTCCTGATTTGCCCCCCACCCCCTTCCCCCTTTTCCACACAACACGGTCCACTGCATTTTTGTTCCTACGAGTTCACCTCAATACCTTTATCATTCATTTTCCACTTGCACACTTCTTTATATCGTAGTAGAGGTCGGCTTCGATATCTTATACCCCTCTTTACTTCACCATAGAGGATGTCCTTAGGGACTCCCATCCTCAATTTTCCAGGTGTAACCCAGCAGAAGGAGCATTATTATTAGTAGCAGAAAATAGTAGTACTAGAAGCAGTATTGATAGCAGCAGTAAAAGTAGTAAAAGCAGCAGAGCCAGTGAATACCACAGGAGAGGACATACAGTGGGGATAGCAACAAGTCGAATGACAGAGACAGGTAAAAAATGAAAAGAGGCAGTGACCCAGAGAATAACAGTCAGGAAAAAGTCACACACTAAAAATGAATATAAAATAAAGTTACCAATACAATATACAATAAGCGAACTCACTGATACATTGATAAACACTCAAAACCATGTGATGTGTTGCAGCACAAAACAAATGACACCATATATTAAAATTAGGTGTTTTTGTTAATCCTGCTAGTAAAGCAACTAAGCTCACTTTTGAAATGCCATTTCCATATAATACCAGCCCGTGAGACAGTGTGAGCTCAACAGCTCTTTTATTATAAATCAAAACCAATAATAATAACCTTCTTATTCATGTAAGACATACTAATGGACGATGGAAACACTGACCACAAGTACATACAATATTACAAAAATGATAAATCCCCCAGTGCGAAGTCGACTAAAAACTGTTAACATTCATACTACAAAAGTCACTTGATGGCTCATCATGTTCTCTCCAGTACCACAAATCAATAACTTTCTTACATTTATCTTTTGTGTGTGTGTGTGTGGTTCCCACATTCCTCACCATCTCAAAGTAAACACAGTCCTGGCCATCTTGATGCCAAACATGTCGCAGTATTACATTTGATAAACATGCATTATCAGTTAAAAACCTCTCTAAATGAATGTTGGATTCACTATCTAAATCATTAAAGATTTTCAACTGTAGCAGTGCAGGAACTAACCCTATCTGAGCTACTGCAGCCTTCAGCTCCTTCTCATAAGCATCTATGCAAGCTTTATAATTTTTATGTAAAGCCACCCTCTCACTGGCTTGCTCTCTTTCACATGTTAGCTGTCTAACCCTCATTGCCTGTTTTAAAGCAAAATCAACAAATAGCTGCAGCTGATTATTTGGAAGGGAATCTAGCCAGACCAATGTGTGATTTTGTGTGTGCCAGAATTTATGAAATTCGTGATCAAGATATGGGCAGGTGAAAATATCTCCAACATAAAATTCTGTAAGGTCTAAATAATGACAAACACATGAAAAAATGGTACAATGTTTGTGGATGTTTAAAAAGTAACTCACATAACATTGTCAATTTACTAAGCATCCTAAGTTAATTACCAAAGAATCATCCTACCAATGATGGCCTAAATTAATTATTGGGATTTGGGGGTGATCAGGCAAAAATATCTCCAACAGAGAATACGAAAGGCTCTAAATAATGACAGATGCATGAACAAATGCTACAATGGTTGTGGATTTAAAAAAAATGATTAAAATAACGTTAGCTAATTTAATAATTATTTTAAGTTATTTATAAAGCGGGAAAAACGGTCTCCTAGTGCAAACATATTGGATTTAAAGCAAAAACAGTGATGCCACTAAAAACAATTTTTAAACATCTGCGGTATTGCCAATCTTTGTGAAATTTCCCACACTTATATAAAAATTAACAAAGAATTGAAAATACACCACACATTGCGGTAATAATCTGGCTAATTAAGAAGATATTTACGAAATTACTTACCCTTAATTCACTGCGTACTGCCAAAAAAAATCGTTTTTTTTAATACGCGTCAAAACCATCTCAGGTCAAAGCCTGGCATCTCTCCAATAACTCCTAATAATTGTTCCGATTTTATCTTTCACGTAAAGAGCATTGAAAAAATTATTTCTCAATAGCGGACAATTCGGGTTGCATTTTCGGGACGCACTCGCGTCTGTAGTTACGGACGAAAGTGTATAGCAAAATAAACGAAACAAAACGACCCATTGCTATACCTAAGTAGTAGTTACAGAAGCAGCAGTAGTAGTAAAACAAAAAATAGCAGCAATAATAGTAGTAGTCACAGCAGCAACAGTAGTAGTAAAACAAAAAATAGCAGCAATAATAGTAGTAGTCACAGCAGCAACAGTAGTAGTAAAATAAAAAAAATAGCAGCAATAATAGTAGTAGTTACAGAAGCAGCAGTAGTAGTAAAATAAAAAAATAGCAGCAATAATAGTAGTAGTCACGGCAGCAACAGTAGTTAGTAAAATAACAAATAGCAGCAATAATAGTAGTAGTCACAGCAACAGTAGTAGTAAAATAAAAAAAATAGCAGCAATAATAGTAGTAGTCACAGCAGCAAAAGTAGTAAGTAAAATAAAAAATAGCAGCAATAATAGTAGTAGTCACAGCAGCAACAGTTGTAGTAAAATAAAAAAAAATAGCAGTAATATTAGTAGTAGTTACAGAAGCAGAAGTGGTAGTTAAATAAAAAAAATAGCAGTAATATTAGTAGTAGTTACGGCTGCGATGGTTGACAAAAAAGTAGCAGCAACAGCTGCATTAGCAATATAAGAATACAAAGAAGTTGTAGTAGCAGCAGCAACATTGAAGTAGTGTTAGTAATAGTATTCTCATTAAATCAAAAATGTCAGTTAAGCGAAATAAAGGTGTGCTGTAAATTTGACGTGTTTGGTGTTAGTTCGATGGCGCCAGCTCGATGGTGTCAAGTATAACAGTTGACATAATGAACTAGTCTGCTGTATAATAAATATACAGGTGTTGGTTGCTAATGGCAGGGGTTGACAATGGTGATCCAGCCATGAATAATGTTACATAATGACTTATCGCTGTATTTATACGTGCTTCTTCTTCTTCTTCTTCTTCTTCTTCTTCTTCTTCTTCTTCTTCTTCTTCTTCTTCTTCTTCTACTTCTTCTTTCTCTTGTAACAAAATGGATTGGGGTGCTAGAAGGAGATGTTAAAGAAAGGTATAAAACCGAACGAAAAGTATATCAGCAAGCTTCACAACATAGCAAACACAGACAGAACGTGAACGTTGCGGCTATGTAGCCTTCATCAGCACATACATAAATAAAACACTACCACGATGGTAGACAGTATAGACGAGTGTGACAGGTAGTAGCAGTTTTGAGCGGGCGGGACACACGAGCTCTGTGGATCGGAAGGTCGTGGGTTCAGGTCCTGCCGGACTTGTTTTCCCCTAAAAAAATGTTCTTGGTTCCCGGGTCGACCTCGCCTTAAATGGGTGCCATGTAAGGTCCTAGAAAGTAAAGGCGGCCGACGTAATGTTGACCACCACATGCCGATTGATCTATAAAATAAAGGTCTAGATGTTCAGTACGCCAGAAGACGTGGATAAGGGTTCTTTACTTTACTTACTCCGTTAACAAGCGGGAGACAAAATGAGTTAATGTTAAGAGACGAATGACTTTTCTTTGTTGTTCTGTTCCTTGCAGATGTCCCAGAACGTTTAAGCTTACCAGAACATCAATATCCGCCGAAGTACCAACAAGAACAAGTTATCTACAAACAAGCAGATGATATAAAAGCCGCCCTATCTTCCCGCCAGAAAAGATTAAACCCCTTTGATGCAACCAGACACGATTTTTGGCAGGATTTGGAGTACCGCGTTGGAGAGCAAAAGCAGGAACCTAGCACTGGACCAAGAACAGTTTTCAAGCAAAACAACGTGGACGCGTTTGATCCGTTAAACTTTGGAGATCCAACTTTTGTTAATAGCTACAGTTCGTCTCCAATTTTAAGGACGTCTGCGTCTCAGAGTCCAGCTTTGATCGCTGGCCTTCAGTGGCAGCAACCTTCTCTGAAGCTAGCAGTAACAGAATTAAGAGGATCAGTTCCATCAGAGAGTTTAAACTTTCAATTACAGCCCTCGCTGCCACATCGGAATATTCCTAACAATGTTCCGCGAGTGAATTTGTCATCTCCTCGTCAATCTTCTGTCAGCTCGGGACCTCCATTTCTCCCGGGATTCGACAGAAACTCGGCGTTTGATATTCATTTCTCCCCCAGGCCCACAACAGCCTGTAGCCAAGGCTAATGTACAACAGGGAACGAGTACTTCAGCTGTCCTATTATCCGGGTCGGCGGTACACACCGACGGACACCACAGAGACGCAATCAATAAATATAATCAGGATTATATCGAATACCCGCGCAGGGATCTGATTATTGAGGATTATACCTCGTCTTCGGCCACACGTAACAGTTCGTCTTCTTTTGTTACTCCTAAATCTTCTAATACTACAACAAACACGAAAATAAACGTACAGAAAAACATAATGGGACAGATCATCATGAATGCAAAGACAATCTACTGGTAAACACTGGGAATCTGTTAAACGTTGATGCCGCTATGGGAGACCAAACGCATGTCATGGTTGATGCTTTTGGGGACAATAGATTTCGCATGCATAGCTCCAATATTGGCGATCGCCAAGCAGGGCAGCTTGGGACATCTTACTCACTGGACAGTCGAGGGGAGATGCGATACATAAACGATGAAGGCGGCCAATCGCTTTGGGATGATGAGAGCGAGAGCGGGTTTCTAGAAAGCGCTCCGCTTTTGGATTCGGGCTCCACTGACAAGCGGGCTTTTGTTTCCACTAACAATCCACACAATAGGGTTGGTAATTTGTTGGCGACCTCGCTGCACACAACACCTGTTTATAATAATAAAGCAGGCGCAAAGGGTGAGATTGCGTCGTCGAGATTCCGCGCGATTACCAGCCGCCAGGTGCCCTATGGGAACTCGATGTCCAAGGGCTATAAAAACGGCGAGTCGTTAAATCAGAACATGCGAGAAGGTAATCATCAAGGCGCGTCTGAAGGGAGTTACAACAACGCGCAAGGTGTTGACAACCACGCCTGCGCCAACCACAGAGGAGAAGACATTGACAGAAATGTTTATGGTGAGCTCAGTGCTTCGCCGCAGTTTCTGGAGCAGGATCGAGTCCGGCGAGCTGGGGAGACGCTCAGGGTTCCTTACAGACATTGCCATCAGCAGAAGAGAATGTCGCTAACGGACAAGCTAGCTCGCCGGCAGCTGATCAGTGTGGTGGTTCTATGTTCGCTGTTTATGATCGGAGAAGGCATAGGTAAGTGGCTGTGTGTTTGTTTACTGTTTTCTGTTTATTTTATGTTGGAGATGGCACATTAGGAGGCTGGGTTGTAGTTTAGTTTTCTGTTTATGTTTAGAGATGGCACATTAGGAGGCTGCGTTATAGTTTACAGTTTTCTGTTTATGTTTAGAGATAGCACATTGAGAGGCTGCGTTATAGTTTACTGTTTTCTGTTCATATTTAGAGATGGCACATTGGGAAGCTGGGTTATCGTTTACTGTTTCCTTTTTATGTTTAGAGATAGCACATTAAGTAGCGGTGTGTTTGTTTATTGTTTTCTGTTTATGTTTAGAGATGACACATTTGCAAGCTGTGTTTTTTTTTTTTTTTACAGTTTTCTGTTTATGTTTAGATGGCACATTAAGAGGTTGCGTAATAGTTTACAGTTTCCTGTTTATGGCTGGTAATGGCACGTTAAGAGGTTGGGTAATAGTTTTTTGTTTTCTGTTTATGTTTAGATGGCACATTAAGAGGTTGGGTGATAGTTTACAGTTTTCTGTTTATGGCTGGTAATGGCACGTTAAGAGGTTGGGTGATTTGTTTTCTGTTTATGGCTGGTAATGGCACGTTAAGAGGTTGGGTGATAGTTAATTGTTTTCTGTTTATGGCTGGTAATGGCACGTTAAGAGGTTGGGTGATAGTTTATTGTTTTCTGTTTATGGCTGGTAATGGCACGTTAAGAGGTTGGGTGATAGTTTACAGTTTTCTGTTTATGGCCGGTAATGGCACGTTAAGAGGTTGGGTGATAGTTTATTGTTTTCTGTTTATGTTTAGAGATAGCGCATTAAGAGGGTGTGTGATAGTTTCTTATGTGATCGGAGACGACACATTAAAAAGCTGAGAGTTTGCTGTTTGTGAATGGGGAGAATTTAGATAAGATGCTGAGTGTGTGTGCATTGCTTTCTTCTTCTTTTTCTTCTTCCCCTTCTTCCTCATATTCCTTCCTCTTCTTCTTCTTCCTTATATTCCTCCTTCTTTTTCTCCTCCTCATATTCTTTATTCTTTTTTTTTTCTTCTTATTCTTTTTCTTCTTCTTCTTCTTCTTCTCCTCCTCCTTCTGCGTTCACCTTCAAATGAACAGTTGGTACACTGTACTGTGTTCTACAGAAAATAAAATTGCCTTTGTTTCCCTGTAAATCTTCTGTAAATATACATCTACACTCCTATTCTAACTGCCCATGTCTTGCATTCATAAAACAACACAGATTTTACACAGCACAACACTCGTTGTCTTTTTGTGCTCATCTCACAAAACATTATAACTACACATATTCTTCTATATCACTCTGACTGCTTTTTTAATTATCCAGGTCTCATATGCACAAAATAACACAGGTTCTCTATTTAGTTCTTCTTCTTTTTATTCTTCTTCTTCTTCTTCTTCTTATTATTATTATTATTATTATTATTATTATTATTATTATTATTATTATTCATGTCCTCCACATGCATTGAACAAGACAGATTTTATATAGCACATTGATTCATATATTCGTATTGCCCAATTCTCGCATGCATAAAAACACACATATTCTCTATCACACTTTAACTGTTTTGCCGGCTATCTAGTGTCATATCTAGTTCTTAAATTACTCCACTCTGTCAAGTCTATAGTTTCATCTTATCATAATTTCTCTGCTATTAATATTCGAAATAATTTTTACCCAACAATATATTAGTTTCAAGAAAGTATATCTTTGGTAGAATGAGTTAAAATAACACCCCTGTATTAAAAGAGCTAAGCACCAGACAGTTGTTACTTTATAACCTCCGGTCAGTATTGTGTGTTTTTTAAATGGTAAGGGGGGGGGGGGGGGGTGGTGTCCAGAATCCATTAGTTGTAAACCCTTTGGCTCAGTACTATGGATAACGCAGCCCTTCTACCTTGATTTCGTGGCAAGCTTCGCTTCTGACAGTAGGTGCCGTTACCTTTTCCTTCCATATGTAGACTGGAGGGATTTGTTCCGTCGCCCAACTACTGAGTTGAATGCATAGCTGGAAACTGGATGCATGGTGTGACACTGTAAGCAGCGTATTTCATTTGAATTGCTTGTGTAGTGTGCCTAGCGAGGTGTGTTTTGTGAACTGCCGATTCAGAAAATGGCGGGTTGCCTTGTGGCAGCAAAGTAGCGGTGCCTTGCACGATTAAATGCGGGTGCAATTACTGATCTGGTGTTACTGCTGCTTCCATCAACGGTGAACTGCATTTCTGACGCCGGACTGTGTGCATTGGCATAGCTGACGGCTGTCTGATGCTCTTGTAGGTATGCTGCTGGCTTTGTCGATAGTGCAGTCTGTGTCAGTATTTCGCAGAGGACACCGATAGGTATTCTTTGTGGTTTTCGCTGGCGCAGGAACGGAGCAATTTTGGGGTGACGATTTTGCTATAAAGTTTAAGATACGACAGTCTAACTACCTGGCAGTAGTTAGGAGAGCCTTTAGCTCCGGAAAATCCTACATAGTAAGGATCCTGGAAATGTGAGGGAAAAGTGGAAGGTTTTTGTGTCATGTCTGGACATATCATCATCTTTTTCGTCAAGTGCCTTGTCGAATGGCGTTGGCGATCGTGTCCCTCTGCAATTTGCGATCCTAACAACGTTTATCAGTATGTGTGCTGGCACCTCTCCAAACCATCACATAACAGTGTCAAGAATCTTCTCGCTTTGAACTCGTCTGTGTCCGCCCCACCGCCCCACCCCTGCTTTCCCAGATATCTCCAGTGGACACATGTTCTGTTTTCGTTCTTCTCATAATATGGCCTCTCCATGTTAGTTTCAGGGCCCAGTTGAGGAGGAAAAACAAGCCTTCTCAACAAGCATGTCGTAAGAGTCGATTAATTGGGAGCTACTTTCCAAGTCGGAGTAAATCTTCCCCTGCGGCAAGGAACGACCAGCTGCACACAAATAAGCCAGTACATCGCAAATGCACATAAAACTCAGACCCTAGCACAAAATCTAAATGGACGAACAACCCGGACTTTCCGCTTACAGTTGGTGAACAAAGAAAAATACGAGGAAGAAGAAGAAAAAGATTCACAACTGCTTTCAAGAAACTTGCAATATCTTCTTCTAACCCTGACTTTAACACTTAACCCTCAATGACTCCGCTTTTTATTAATTTAACATTACTGTGTGCATATATTACAGGTTCAATTAAAAATAGAATCTTAACCTGCACAGTCCGTGGCGACAGCACTAGCTCAAGACCCACTGTGTACACCGCAAAAGCGGTAAATAAAGACAGTCATGGCAGGTAAAGGCTAAAACTGCCCGTTTACAGATGTCACACTAGATCTGCCTGATAGCTCAGGTCAGTTTTAACAACTCACATGGATGAGGTTTGAAACCTTGAACCGGCAGGGACATCAGCCTCTCAGTGACTCACAATCCATGACATCCACCCTCCCACAGCAAAGCACTTGTGCACCAAGCAGTCAGTTTTCATTGTTTGTTTAGCAACTGTACCTGTGTGATTTGACTTGCAAAATTACTGCTTGCGTAACTAGCAACAGTGAAACATATCGCTAACATCTGCTGCTGTTTAACTATGTTAGAATTGGGGAAGGGGGTGTACGTGCGTGTGTGTTTTCTTTGATATGGAAGTGGGAAGTTGTGTTTATTGTGCTTAAATTACCTTGTTAAAAAATAGTGGCTACTGAAATCGTTCTGAAATCTCCTCACTCACCTCCACCTCCTCCTCTTTCTGGCTAATACCTGAAAATCACTATTTGGTATATATATATATATATATATATATATATATATATATATATATATATATATATATATATATATATATATATATATATATATATATATATACCAAATAGTGATTTTCACTATTCTGTCGAATACGAATAGTGGGACCAACTATTCGGCCGAATACGAATATGAATAGTGTATCATCATTATCAGGTACCTTGCCGACTGACGTGGGCAATTATCCCTCGCCACACTCTGTGATCTTCTGCAGCATGTATTAGTTCGTGTGCTGACACACCTCCATGCCATGCAACAAGATTGTCAAGAATCTTCTCTCGTTGTCTTCCTTTATGCCTCCTTCCACAGATCTTTCCAGTGGTCACCACATGTTTCCATTTTTCCTCTGCTCATAACATGGCCGAAAAATGATGACTGTCTCCTTCTGATGTCTGTGATAAGTTGGGCTCCCGCCTCTTTCAAAACCTCTTGGTTGCTTTTTTTTTTTCTGTTCAAGGTATTTTAAGCATTGTTCTGTAAAACTACATCGCTAAGGCCTCAAGAAATTGTTTGGCCTGCCTACCGATTGTCCAGGGCTCACAACCATATATGTATTTAGCAAGCAAGAATTATTTTTCTAACCTTCAAGGACAAAGATATATTGCATAAGATGTTCTTCATTTTATAAAATGCACTTATTGCCTGACGCCTGTTCTCTTTTCGACAGTGGCGAGAAAAGACAATTTAAATTTTACCTTTTAAGTATCTTCATGCCTTCTTTAATAATGTCACAATTTAAAGCCTACTTTTCTTGATTTTCGCCGCGGTACCCCTAGCATACGCACCCAGTTTAAGAACCTCTGCTGTAAAGCCTTGGTCAAGTCAGCAGGCGAAGACCTTGCCAGCTGCTGTACTACGCAACCGACTTAGGCAACAGGAACTTTTGTGTTAATAAGAGAGTTATTTTAGTCCATCGCAGTATATGCAGAAACGAGTGTAAGGTAACAACTATTCGAATATTCGGTACAGCCCTTATATATATATATATATATATATATATATATATATATATATATATATATATATATATATATATATATATATATATATATATATATATGTAATGATGTTATAAATAGGGATAATGACAGGGGATGATTGGCATAATTGGGGAAGTCCCTGAGAGCATGGGTTTCACGGAGATATGGTGAAACGACAGAAAAGAGTGAGTCACGTGTGAATGGGGAGATCTGGGGGATTGAGAATCAGGCGGTCATT